TAGCCTGTCATAAGAGACCGTTCCCAACGTTACTTTTTTATACCAATATGTGTTTAAACCAATAAAAAAGGTTTGACAGTAATAATATAACAGAGTGCATGAAGAGCTGCATTTCATTACTGAGAATATTAAATCAGAATCTTTTAAACCACAGAAAATAAAACCTAAATAAATAAAATTCATAAAAAGGTCTCAGTAGCTTCATAGTTCATGTTTTTAGAGAAAAATTAAGATCTTCATATTTTACCATGTTTCAGAGATTTCAGATATAAATGAATTCTGATCAAAATAATCAGTGATGATTTGAATCCTGTCTGTTTATGAATGAAGAGCTTTATCACTTAGATCAGATCAGATCTGTTATCATATCTCTGGAAATAGATTCAGAAAAAGTTCATTTGGTTTTGATTCCATTTAGAAAATATGATGTATTTCTATAAACAGATTCCTTTACATTTTAAAGTGTTTCTATAGCTTTTGGTTCTATAGAAAGATTCACATAGAAGCTTCTTCATTGTTCAATTTTTATTTTTTTTCTTTGTATATTATGTCCTTTATGTTACCAGGGAATAAAGTTTTTCCGGTTATTTAACGGAGGATTTATGGGATGATAATCTATCAGTTGTTGAGTTTTATCAATGAATTGTGTTGCTAATCCTTTAATCTAATAAATTCAGTTTGAGGGTAAAAATTCTTCAAAATTGTTGATTTTTTTAGCACGTGACCATATGATCCATCAGGTGAACAACAGACCATCAACTATTTTATTCTTTCATCTTTATCTGTCATTAATAGTAAAATATTCTACAAACATGTCCTTTATTCTTCCAAATGGTTTTTAAAGTTCATAAATGATGTTTTTAAATCTGCAGCGGAAGTGTTTTTATTCTCTCAGGTCATTAGCTGCTAGGCTAGCTAGCTCCCAGCTAGCAGGTTAGCTTAAACCAGAGTCAAACTGGGCTAACATGCACTACTATCATAATAACATCTTTAATAAAAAGCTGAGGAGGAGAGAAAACAAACCTCCGCTTCCAGGCGACTCCATGACAGCAGCCATAATGTCGGAGAGAACAAAGAGGTTAGAAGACTACAATCCCAGAAGGCAATGCGGCAGCAGCTAACAACACAGCGCAGGTTAAGCTAATTCAAAGCTCCAAAGTTCACCACAAAAACAGGATTAATTTAGTTCCATCATTAATTAACCGAGACTAGCTGAGAAAGAACAACATTCAGCAGCAGCTGCTTCTTCCTCTGCTGCTGCTCAGCGACCGCTACCGCCCCCTAGCGGAGGGCCCGTTAACAGCGATGCGTGGGTGCGTGCGTGGAGCCCATATCTGTGCGCGTGTCGTTTCCAGAAAGTCATGTGACCGATCCAGGAGTTGTTGTTAACATACTAAACTGGGTTTAAAATCGTAATCGTAATCTTAGTCCACAAGCATCCTCATTCATATTTTCCCCTTAATTTAACGTTATGATAAATGTTTACATTATTTATTGGCTGCATCTAAAACTATCAAAGATATTCAATTTAAACATAGATATGAAATAATAGAATATAACCTCCAATAACTTCAATGATATCATTGTTCCAGGTCATCAACCATCTCAATAAAATTAATGTTAATGGAGCAGAATAATTCAGATGAGGCAAAAGTGCTAAATTGATGATGGTCATGTAATATACATGGATTGATGACATTGTTATG